CATTGTAATAAATAAACCTGCTACTTTAACCCAGAATGTTGGTTAAATGAATGCATGGTTGATCTGCGCTCTTGATTCCCTTTTAGGCGCTGATGGATTCTAGTCTCCCTCGGCTACAATTGGAACTCTACAAAGAGATTAAAAAAGTGAGTTCCTTTCGACACAAAATGGTGGGTTTGTTTGCATGCTCGACTTTCAAGCAAAACTGAGCCCCAGGTTCCTGTCGCTATGGAAAACATTTGTTAAGTGAATCTCGCCCCACTTTACAGCCGCTGTCGTAAAGAGAGTCACTGCGGTTGTTAACTTGGTAACCCGGTTGTTAAGTGAATCCGGCTTCCCCCTTGTTAGAAGGTCGCAAAAGGGGATTGCTTGACACCCCCCCCCGGGCCCGCTGCGACCGTCATAAATATGAATCAGTGGCCAAGCCTCCGAATTTTGATCACGTGACCACAGGGATGCCTCAACAGTCGTCAGTGTGAAAAACGGTCATCAAGTCACTTTTTTCAGTGCCGTTGTAACTTTGAACCGTCACTAAATGAACTGTGGTAAGTCGAGGGCTTGCCTATGTAGAGTTTTCCACAGGAATTTGGGACCCTAACAATTTGTTGCCAGCTAAAGCCACGAGAAATGAACACTTTATTTGAGGGGAAAGATTTGGGGGGGGGAGCTGATGGGATGGCTACAAGGTGCATGCTGGTCTATCGGCTGGGGAATTCTGGGAGTTGAACTCCATACATGTTGCAGTGGGCGAAGTTGAGAAATGCCGGCCTAGAACATCAGTTTTGGTCTTAGGGTGATGTTACGTTCTTTAAAATGACTGATTTTTTATTTTGGTGTGTTTACTGCATTGGAAATCAAAGTTGAGACATTTTAAAAAATATTTATTTGACTTCACAGATCCCCTAATAAAAGGAACTTGTGATGATTATGATGATGATGATGATGATGATGATGATGATGATGATGATATAATGGACTCAATAGGTAGACAAAATGCCAAATCCAGTCTGAACATCTGGCTGACTATGCAATGATCCATAATAATAATAATAATATTGGTAGTACCAATAGTAAAATGACCTCCGAGGTCACTTCCAACTTTATTATTATTGTTATTATTATTATTATTATTATTATTATTATTATTATTATTATTATTATTATTATTATTATTATTAATTGGAGCACCACTTGAACACCATTGGCATTGACAAATTCGCCATTAGTCAATTGCAAAAGGCGGCCTTACTAGGAACCGCTTCCATCCTGCGACGAGATCTGTAATACCATCAAACATCCAGATCTGCCTATCCCAGGTCCTGGGTAAGGACTCGATAGGTAGACAAAAATGCCAAATCCAGTCTGAACATCTGGCTGATTGTGCGATGATCCATAATAATAATAATAATAATAATAATAATAATAATAATAGAAACTGCGCGATTATGGATGAAACGTGTAACAGTGATACCCATTGTCATCCAGGCACTGGGAACTACGTCCAAAAACTTTGCAAAATAGTTCAAGAAACTGCAGCTTCCTGCAATAACTCCAGCAATGCTACAAACAACTGCGCTAGTTAGAACATCTTACATTTTAAGGAGGTACCTGGTTGATACCTAGGATGCTGGCAGCAACCCGTGTCAACCATCAGCACCAGTCAATTTGAATGTTCAGTTGACTGAGGTTCACATCTAAATAATAATAATAATAATAATAATAATAATAATAATAATAATAATAATAATAATAATAATAATAGAATGACTGTGGCAAAGGCAAGCAAGGGTAGTACCAATAGTAATAGGCACCTTAGGTGCAATCCCAAAACAACTGGAGCATCACTTGGACACCATCATCGGCATTGACAAATTCGCCATTAGTCAATTGCAAAAAGCGGCCTTACTAGGAACTGCTTCCATCCTGCAACGATATCTGTAATACCATCAAACATCCACATCTGCCTATCCCAGGTCCTTGGTAAGGACTCGGTAGGTAGACAAAAATGCCAAATCCAGCCTGAACATCTGGCTGACTGTGCGATGATCAATAATAATGATAGCAATAGTAATAGAGTTGGAAGGGACCTTGGAGGTCTTCTAGTCCAACCCCCTGCTCGGGCAGGAAATCTTCTACCATCTCAGACAAATGGTTGTCCAGTATCTTCTTAAAAACCTCCAGTGTTGGAGCATCCACAACGAGTCACCCTTTGAGAACCGTTGATCCAAAGTTTTCAAGAAGAATATTTGTGTTTTTAAAACCCTAGTTTATTTCAGAAAAGCTGGCTGCCTGGTTGCTTCCAGCTCCGTAGGGACTCGCGCGAGTCACTTGGCTATAGGTTTATTTTGTGCGTAAGGAATTCTGTAAGAGTCCTCATGCCTGCCTTGTTAGCCCAGGCTACCCGCTCTCGTGGCTAACAGGCGAGTCGCTCTTTTCTGTTGTGTTTTGCAGAACGGTGCTTCCCGGAGTCTGCGGGCTGCTCTGTGGAGATTTGCTGAACTTGCACATCTTGTGAGACCTCAGAAATGCAGGTGAGATGATCTCCTTGAGAGCAAGAAGCAGGCTGGGGGATTCTGGGCCAGCAGGTTTGAGGTGTTACCTGTGTGTTAATGGAGTTGGACTGGGACCTGGCTGACCCGCTCTCCATCTGCCTAGCCAACTGTTGGAGGTCCATGCAGAGAGTGGTAAGGACAGCTGAAAAGATTATAGGAAGACCACTTCCCATTATTCAGAAAAGGGCTTATAAGCGCTTCATGGGCTGTTTCTGTTGCTGCCCTCTGGGAGGTTTTGAAGTACTTATACCAGAACTACTAGATTCTGTAACAGCTTTGTTCCTTAGGCCATCCGTCTTGTAAATTCGTAGGATTCTTCTTTTTTTCCTCGCCACGTATATGTATACATTCAAACTAGACTGTGATGTTTCTCTGTGTCATCTGTGTGTGTATGTGGGTGTATGCATAATGGTATTTTTTTAGAGCTGAATTTCATTTTAATGTATGCTGATTAGTGTATATTTAAAGTGACAATAACGTTTTTATTCTATATTCTATTCTGTTCTCTTCTGCTCTATTCTATTATGTATTCTGTTCTATTGTATTTGGCTCTATTTTATTGTATTCTATTCGGTTCTGTTCTATTTCTGTTGTGTCCTATTTCTGTTCTATTTCTGTTTTCTGTTCTGTTGTGTTCTATTTCTGTTCTATTCTAATTCTATATTCTATTCTATTCTATATTCTATTCCATTCCATTCCATTCCATTCCATATTTTATTCCATTCCATATTCTATTCTATTCTATTCTATTCTATTCTATTCTATTCTATTCTATTCTATTCTATTCTATTCTATTATTCTATTCTATTCTATTCTATTCTATTCTATTCTATTCTATTCTATTCTATTCTATTCCAATATCTATTCTATTCCAATATCTATTCTATTCTATTTCATTCTATTCCATTCCATTCCATATTCTATCCATTCCAATATATCTATTCTATTCTATTCTATTCCAATATCCATTCTATTCCAATATCTATTCTATTCCAATATCTATTCTATTCCATTCCATTCCATTCCATATTCTATTCCATTCCAATAACCTATTCTATTCTATTCTATTCATTTCTATTCATTTCTATTCTATTCTGTTTTTTATTCTATTCATTTCTATTCTATTCTGTTTTCTATTCTATTCTATTCCTATTCTATTCTAATTTCTATTCTATTCCTATTCCTATTCCGATTCCACTCCACTCCACTCCATAACGCAACTTGCCTGGCATTGGATGCTAGTAATTTACCGTAGTAGATTCTCCTCCTTGCTGAGAAGACAGACATCCTTAGAAGTCTGGAGGCAGGGCTCCCTGTCCTATTTTCATTTTCTCCTGCGCGCCCCCTGCCCCCAAAAGGGGGGAAATCACATTGCTGGCCCTCTTTTGTGCCGCACAAAAGGGAGCATCCTGTGTCACAAAAAGGGAGCCTCTTGTTCCAAGCCTTTGAGTGATACGGTTTTTTTTTGGCCATCTCTTGGTGCAGGCCGTATTTTGTGAACCTCCTGCCCTGCTTAACCCGGGTCAGCAGGCGGCCCGAAGAATCCGTGCAGGAAACCCTGGCGGCGGCGATGCCCAAAATCATGGCAGCTTTTGGAAATTTTGCCAACGACAGCGACATCAAGGTAAAATTATTTTAAACGCTAACGCCAGACTCAACAGACACAGAGTTGTCGGAAGAGAGAGTTACGGTTTTAATAAGCCCGCCGACGAGGGTCTGCGTGCGAGTGAGATCAAAACTGGGTTGCTGTATGAAAGGTTTGCCCAGGTGTGCCGAAGTTTTGGAATTAGGTTTAGATTTTGGAGAGAAGGGTGGGGGGGGAGAGCAGGCTGTTTGGGACACCAGACCCTGAGCAGGAGGCCGTCCCTGAATACGCGGGATCTGTCTTCTCTCGTGATTGTTTCCGTAAGTGGTCCACCACGTTGAAGAACTGGGCATAGCTTCCCCATCTGAAGGTTCCTGGGGTCTCCTTGTAAGAGAGAAGCTACAAATGGGGAAAAGTCCTGGGACTGGCAGTAGGACAGGTGGGTTGCCGACTTGCAAATCCTGGGCTGATGTCACCTGCAGAGAGAGTAGAGTAGAGTAGAGTAGAGTAGAGTAGAGCAGAGCAAAGCAGAGCAGAATAGAATAGAATAGAATAGAATAGAATAGAATAGAATAGAATAGAATAGAAATAAGAATAGAATAGAATAGAATAGAATAGAATATGGAATGGAATAGAATAGAATAGAATAGAATAGAATAGATATTGGAATATAGAATAGAATAGATATTGGAATATAGAATAGAATAGATATTGGAATATAGAATAGAATAGAATAATAATAGAATATGGAATAGAATGGAATGGAATGGAAATAGTGGAGTAGAGTAGAGTAGAATAGAATAGAGTAGAACAGAACAGAGAACAGAACAGAACAGAATAGATAATGGAATGGAGTGGAGTGGAGTAGAGTAGAGTAGAACATTAGAATAGAATAGAATAGAATTACAGAATAGGAATGGGAATAGGAATAGAATAGAATTACAGAATAGAATAAAATTACAGAATAGGAATAGAATAGAATAGAATAGAATAGACTTGCAAGGGACCTTGGAGGTCATCTAGTCCAACCCCCTGCTCAGGCAGGAAACCCTATATCATTTCAGACAAATGGCTGTCCAGTCTCTTCTTAAAAACTTGCAGTGTTGGAGCATCCACAACTTCTGGAGGCAGGTGGTTCCACTGGTTAATTGTTCTCACTGTCAGGAAATTTATCCTTAGTTCCAGGTTGCTTCTCTCATTGATCAGTTTCCATCTGTTGCTTCTTGTCCTGCCTTCAGGGGCTTTGGAGAATAGCTTGACTCACCTCTTCTTTGGGGCAGCCCCTGAGATACTGGAAGACTGCTATCGTCCTCTTCATTAGACTAGACATCCCCAATTCCAGCAACCGTTCTTCCTATGTTTTAGCCTCCAGTTCCTTAATCATCTCTCTTGCTCTTCTCTGGACTCTTTCCAGAGTCTCAACATCTTTTTTACATCGTGGTGACCAAAACTGGATGCAGTATTCCAAGTGTGGCCTTACTAAGGCCTTGTAAAGTGGTATTAACACTTCACTTCAAGAAGAGTGCGGTTTCTCACTGAACTCGTGGCTGCCTCTGCTTACTTTTGCTCCTGGTCAATATTTTTTTTTTAAAATCCAGAATGAAGCCCATAAGTAATTCTGGAGGCTGCCCTAAAGCAACGAACCAGACTTTGGGAGTCGTGAGATGATGGAGGAGAATGTCTTCCTCAATGAGTTATAGAGTCTTGTCCAGGGCTGAGGGCAGCTTAATTCTTCCTATTGGAAAGCGTGAGAAGCTTTCTTTTTGAGTTTTTAACGTCAGAGTAGCACTAATTGTTTAGCTGATTTTTTACCTTGAGGCCATATCGTTTAGCGTGCCCTCTGCCAGACGTCGAAAAGGGAAGCTCAGATGGCACAGAAGGGCTTCATTGATTTTTCTTTTCACTTTAGGTTTTATTAAAAGCTTTCATTGGGAATCTCAACTCCAACTCTCCAACCATCCGTCGGACGGCGGCCGCAGCCACGGTGAGCATCTGTCAGCATTCACGAAGGACGCAGTATTTTTACACCCGGTTGCTTCAAGTATTGCTAGGTGAGTGCCTAATTTGTGTTCCTGCTGCAGCTTTGCTGGGTCTTTATTGCTCTCTGTCTCTCTCCTTCTCCCTCCTTCCCTCCCTCTCTCTCCTCTGTCTCTCTCCTCTCTCTTTCTCTCTCTCCTTTCCTTTCTCTTTCTCTCCTTCCCTCTCCTTCCCCTCCCTCCCTCCCTCTCCTCTCTCTCTTTCTCTCTCTTCTCCCTCTCCTTTCCTTTCTCTCCTTCCCTCTCCTTCCCTCCCTCTCTCTCTCTCTCTCCTCTCTTTCTCTTTCTCTCTCTCCTCTCCCTCTCTCCTTTCCTTTCTCTTTCTCTGCTTCCCACTCCTTCCCTCGCTCCTCTCTCTCTTTCTCTCTCCTCTCCCTCTCCTTTCTTTCTCTCTCCTCTCTCTTTCTCCTTTTCTTTCTCTTCCCTTTCCTCTCTTCCTCTCTCTCCTCTCTCTCCTCTCTCTTTCTCTCTCTCCTTCCTTCTTTCCTTTCTCTTTCTCTCCTTCCCTCTTCCTCCCTCCTTCCCTCCCTCCCTCCCTCTCTCTTCTCTCTCTCTTTCTCCTCTCCCTCCTACTTTCCTTTCTCTTTCTCTCCTTCCCTCTCCCTTCCTCCCTCTCTCCTCTCTCTTTCCTTTCTCTTTTTCTCCTTCCCTCTTCCTGCCTCCTTCCCTTCCTCTCCTCTCTCTTTCTCTCTTTCTCTCTTTCTTTCTTTCTTTCTGTCTTTCTTTCTTTCTTTCTTTCTGTCTTTCTTTCTTTCTCTCTCTCCTCTCCCTCCTTCTTTCCTTTCTCTTTCTCTCCTTCCCTCTCCCTCCTTCCCTCCTTACCTCTCTCCTCTTTCTTTCTCCCCTCCCTCTCTCCTTCTTTCTCTCCTCTCTCTCTCTCTCTCTCTCTCTCTCTCTCTCTCTCTCTCTCTCTCTCTCCTTTTCTCCTTCTCTCTTCCCCTCTCCTCTCTTCCTCTCTCTCCTCTCTCTCTCACTTTCTTTCAACTATACCCCCATTCTTTGCCTGAAGATATATTTCTAAGGAAGTACCTGTCGTAAAACTGACTTTCTGGAGCCTTTTATGAGGTTGCTCCAATCGTCTTCTCCGCAGGGCTGTTGTGTCCCAAGGAAGAAGAGCACCCCAGCGTCTTGATCCTCGGGGTGTTGCTCACCCTGAGGTACCTGATCCCATTGCTGCAGCAGCAGGTGAAAGACACCAGCCTGAAAGGCAGCTTCGGGGTGATACAGAAGGAAACCGAGATCTCGCCTTCCTTGGACCAACTCATACAGGTAACCGTTCGCTCAAGGGCCGTGGTGGCGCAGTGGTTAGAATGCGGCATTGCAGGCTAGCGACGGGCTAACTCTGCCCACTGCCAGGAAGTTCGATCCTGACCGGCTTAAGGTTGACTCAGCCTTCCGTCCTTCTAATGTCGGTAAAATGAGGACCCGGATTGTTGGGGGGGCAATAGGCTGACTCTGTAAACGGCTTAGAGAGGGCTGTAAAGCACTATATGAAGCGGTATATAAGTCTAAGTCCTATTGCTATTGCTTCCTTCCTCCCTCCCTCTCTCCCTCTCCTTCCTTCCCTCTCTCCTTTCCTCCCTCCCTCCCTCTCCTTCCTTCTTTCCTTCCTTCCTTCCTTCCTTTCCTCCCTCCCTCTTCCTTCCCTCCCCTCTCTTCCTCCCTCCCTTCCTTCCTTCCCTCCCTCCCTCTTCCTTCCCTCTCTCCTTTCCTCCCTCTCCTTCCTTCTTTCCTACCTTCCCTCCCTCTTCCTTCCTTCCCTCCCCTCCCTCCCTCCCTCCTTTCCTTCCTTCTTTCCCTCCCTCCC